AATCGTCCAGCGTCCAGCTGGCCCGGGGCGAGCTGCTTCCCCTCCCGGGCACGCAGCAGCCTCCAGTGTGGGACGGGGAGGGCGGTGACTTGGGAGTCAGTGGAGGGCTGTGTGGTGTTCTGCAGCAGAGCCTCACCTGGCCTGGGCCTGTGCCAGACTTGGAAGGATGGACCCAGGGAAGGGACACTCCTCAGTCCAAGTCTGGGCGGTGGCAGCGGGCGTCTGATTGTGCTGGCCAGGGCGGTGAGGACACTGGCTGAGGGGCAGGCGGAAGGGACAGTGCAGTAGCCACCACCCAGGCAGAGGCCGTGCCAGTGCCTGGTCCCCCTGGGGCACCGAGGAGATCCCCCCTCCCCCCTTCTCCTGCAGCTGCCAGCGGCACCGTAATCCTCCTGTGCTCCTTCCAGGGCGGCGCTGGGACCATGACCACACACTGGGAGCTCAGAACAGTGGAAATTTATTTTCTCACAGTTCTAGAGGCCCAGGAGCTGGCAATCAAGGAGTCAGCAGGGCCAGTCGGGGACTCCAGAGGGCACGCCTTCCCTGTGTCTCCTACGGACTCCTGGTGTTTCCTGGCCATCCAGGGTGCTCCAGGCCCGCGGCCTGCTGTTCAGGAAGCATCGACTGACCACATGTCCGCCCATCCAGCCAACTATTAGGAGACAGGGCTTCCCGGAAACAGTGACTTATTTCTTCCTGTCCATGGGCACCTGGATTTTGGGGCACTTTTCCCGTTTTCAGTGTGAGCGACCCAGGGCCACCAGGGTCCACGAGCCTCCTGAAGATAACTCAGGAAACTGCCAGTCGGCCACCCGCCCGCTCTGCCTCAGTTAAGCAATCTGGCCTTTGTCAGGAAGAAAGGAGGAAAGAGGGGGCGTTGGGGAGAGGAATGAGCCAGACGTTCACTTCTCAGAACCTGAGTCGTATGGACACTCTGTGCCAATGACGTGACTACGTGAAAATGTTTAACTCAGAAGCTAACACTGGGCTGCTCTGGGATGTGACCAAATTTTAAAGATCCCAGAAAATGGCCTTGATGTTTAATGACTCAGAGGAACCCGAACAATGAACCTCAGGGTGGGTGATACGGTTTAAGGATCAGATTTTAAGGATTTTTTTGGCATAGAAAAATCACATTTGGGGATTGTATTTGAAGCCAGCTGGTTGTTAACAGCTTGGTTTTCATGCTGTACGTTTTACTTTGTGCTGAGACGTTCCTTGTGATCCGACAGTAGCCAGGCAATGGGGGAAAGAGGGTGTCACGGGCATTGCAGACTCGAGGTCTCTCTGGCACATGCAGGAGTGCTGGAGATGGGGTGTGGCACTGGGGGCTCAACAGACGCAGGAAGGTGACCGATGTGTCGGAGTGAGCAGAACATGAAAGGAGGAGCCCGAGTCTCACCTGCTAAGCCTCGGGCTCACAGAAAGACCCTGATCCTCGTGGTACAGGTTAGGGGGCCCAAACATGAAAAACAATGGGACAACTAAAGCACAGAGCAGGCGTCCTGGTGGAAGAAACCCGACACACAGTCTGTTGGGGTGTAGTTTTCTGCTGAAGAATAGAGCAGACCCTTGGTTTTTTTCCATGGATCAAGTATCTGCTGCCAGCCTGCAAGGTGGACGATGTCACAGGCTTCCCTCCGCTGCTTCAGACTGTCCTTACCAAGGGCCCCTGCATCGCTGCTGTGACTCCCAACCCCTGCCGTCCATAAGGAGGGCAAGAAGGTCGAGTCCCATAGTGATTTTTTTTTTTTTAAGAAGCCTCTTTAACTTTACTGTAGGTGCGTGTGCTTTGTGCTGCCTTCTCTTCTAGATCTTTGCTGTAGGTCCTGCTGTGGTGGAGACCCACGAGTCGGGCCGGGCGTTTTCTCCTGTCGAGTACCCTTCCTCCTGGACAGCTGTCAGCCAGGGTCCTCTCTGTTCTATCTGTTTCATACTGGATTAGGGAATGTGCTGGTTATCAAGCTATAACACACACACACACACACACTCACACACACATACACACCACACAATAAATGAGAACAAGGAAAATTTGTGCTTTTATATGCAGAAACAGGTTTGGAGATAGGATCAACATGCACTGATAACTGAGAAAAATTACAAATCATTATTAATTCAATTTCAAATGGTATGGGGAGATTTTGGGACCATAGAAGTTGGAAAAATCGAAGATTTCTGTTTTGTCAGGCAGGGATGTTTAGTGTGGGCAATGGAGAAGCTGGTATTCAAATGAGAGCACTGGCAGGCTGGGGTGTGGCTCAGCAGTGGAGCACTCACCTAGCACGTGCGAGGCTCTGGGTTTGATCCTCAGCTCCACAAAAAACTTTTACAAAAATAAAATAAAGGTATTGTATTCAACGACAAGTAAAAAAATTTTAAAAAATTTTAAAAAAATGAGAGCACGTGATTTGATACATTGTTGTTAGAGGTATTCCAAGTAATCAAATACATGCTTGGAAGTGGGTTGGCACGCACCTCTGCAGAAGGGTGTGCCCCCAGGGGTCATTTGGCCAGCAAGCACAGCTGGCTGCAGTCTGCCTCCTGTGATCCTCCCTGAAGTACTACTGCCCCTTCCTCTGGTAGGAAGAGTCCTGGGTTCCCTCTATGCAATTAGTTACTTTAAGGTCGTGAAGGGCAGGGGAAAGGGCTACAGTGTGACTGGATACCCGTTAGGAGACTGACCACGTGGCTTCCTAAGATGGCTCCCGCATTCATCACGAAATTTAAGTTACAGTAACACGTTTGTGTATTCCAAGTGCAACTTTGATAGAGACAAAAACAGTAACCTTACATCCGGAAGGATCAAATAGGGAAGTTGGGGAAAAAATTTGAGAAAGATCATGAAGCTAGAGTGTGACATTTCTTGTCCTTATCATCCTTTTGTGAAACTGCTAGAGGGGACCAGATAGCAAAGGGGAGCAGTCACGAGGCCCCTCACTCCAGAGTGCCATGTCAGATTTTCCTGGTTAATGACAGAGTGAAACTTTAATATCACATCATTGTTTTCTGATATTAATACCTATTTTACTGCAGAAAATTTGGAAAACACATGGAATTATAGTGGAAAGGCAGAAATCTTTTGTAATCTCTCCACCACGAGGGAAAGAGAATAACAAGAATGTTTACTTGTCCTGACTTTTTCATATATAAATATGCATTGCTTTTGCATTAAAATGGAATTATTTTCCATAGAGAGTGGCTATATTTTAAAATTAATATTATCCTACAATCATTTTCAAGTCATTATTCTTCAAAATGTGTTGAAAGGTATTAGTACAATCCCTAATATTAAACTATTCTTGAATTCTTGGAATCAATTTTACTTGGAGATGTTGTATTATTCATTGACTATGCTACTGGATTAAATTTGCTAATTAAATAAAGTCTCCATTGATAAGGAAAATTGGCCGGTAGTTTCTTCTTAAGCATTAGTACAATTAAGAAAATTTATCAGGCATGTATGAATGTTACCGAGCTAATTGGGAACTCGCACGTGGCTGAGGTCTGGGAAAACCTGACTGCTGGTCAGACAGCCTGACTAGCAGGGGCTTCTGGCTTCAGCATCACGTTGGCAACGTTAGCACGAAGCCTCCTGCCTCAGGCTTCTGGACCCAGGGAGAAGAGAAGCGGCACAGAAATCTACCACGTGGCCCAGCCCCAGTGGGAAGGGGCTCCGAGACCCCAGAGGGAAGCCTGCTGTGAGCACACGCAGAGGCAGGTGCTCAGGCGTGTGGGGTGCACCTGTGAACTGGACCTGGCGTCAGTGCCCACATGGTCAGGTGAGGTCAGCAGACATTCTCCAGAGTTGGGCTGGAAGCACTGGCCTTACACAAACCTGGAGCTTGTGAGTGCCAGTGCCCTCTTGGAAAGGGCCGCACAAAACCATGCTGGCTGCAGGTCAGCCTCCAATTCTATGTCCAGAGGAATGACGGGACCATCTCTGTTTCAACATTCGCAGAGTTAGGAGGTAGATGAGGGAAAAGTCTCACTGTTCTGGGGAAAATACTGTCAGCTAGCATTCTGATCCAGAAAATCCTTTAAAATAATAGAGAAAAAAATAAGTGTATTTTTAGAATAAATGCTGAGAGCATTTGATGCGAGGCGACCCTAATTAGGAGAAATTCTAAAAGATACACTTTAAGCCAAAAGAAAGTATTTCCAATGGGATTTCTGATATAAAGGAAGAGAAAAAGAGCATGATATAGAAAGGCAGGTTGGTTTAAATGACTAACAAGCATCCAAGACAATGTCTCCCATGGAAGTAAAAGCCCAGAAGTGAGCTGCCTCACTAATGATAGGGCTCAGGCCATGTGTGACCCAGGGTAGGGGTCACTTCATGCCTTGATAAGTCCACAGTGCTGTGATTTCCAGAATATCACTAAAAGAATAAAAAGAGTGCATAACTCCAAATGAGTGGGAATGAAATAAATGAAAAATAATCAATTAAATGGATAATGTTAAGGTTATTAAAAAGAAATGCTGAAAATTAATGATCTAACTTTATTTTAAAAACCAGGTGATCCAATGTGCAAATGGACAAAAACCTGAACAGGTACTTCACAAACCCAACTCACATGTTGGAGCTCCAGTGCTCTGATTCTATTTGGAGTCTTCAAAGAGATGATTAGGGTTAAGTGAGGTCACATGGCTGGGGCCCTGGTCCAACATAACAGCATCCTTCCAAGAAGGGATTGGGACACAGGCATGCATGCACACAGAGGAAAGACTGTGTAAGGACAGAGGGAGAAGGCGGCCACCTGCAATCCAGGAAGAGAGGCCTCAGGGGAAGTCAGTCCAGCTGGCACCTGGACCTTGGGCTTCCGGAATCCAGGCTTCCGGAGTCCATTTTTTACCCATAAGCCCTCAGTCTGTGCCGCTTTGCTATGGTAGCCCCAGCATGTTGATGAAGAATACGTCTTTAAGGGATTACAGTTCTGTACATTTCCAGGACAGGTAGAATTAAATTACCTTGTTTAACAGGGCCTAGGAAGGGGGCTGGGGATGTAGCTCAGTTGGTAGAGTGCTTGCCTGGCATGCATGAGGCCCTGGGTTCGATCCCCAGCACTGCACATATGTGTGTACGTGTAAACGCATATGCGTGCACACAGACACAGGAAGATAATAAGACAAAACATGGTTTTCACAGAAAGTAGTTTTCTGTAGGGGAAGGGAGCAGAGTCTGGTTGAGGGAGTCCCTGGGCCTCTGGAGGCAGCAGTGAGGGGTACTGGGCCTGGCTGGAAGTTACATGGGCTTCTCTGCATTCTTTCTCATGCTGCATAGTTTTTTGTAGTATTGCATAGAGATGGCAGATTGAACAATCGAAGGATACTCAACAGACTGCTGATATGTAAAATGATGGTTGGTCTGTGGGAGGAGCTAGGAACCAGCCTGGGGAAGACGGTCCACTTAGGGCTCTCTTCCCTAAGCCCGTGGGCAGTGGGCATGTGGGTGTTTATCTCATTGTTAGTTTTTTGTTCATTTTGTATCTACTCATCACTTTGGAAAAAGCCATTCTTAGAAGAAGGAGTAGAAATAATAGTGATACTGGTAGCCTCAGAAATTCAACTGCTATTTGGTTTATGGAGGTGCCTGACTTATTAATAAGACTGTTGAGAGAATATAAGCTACTCAATTTTGAAATTCAGATAAAGAATAAAAAAACTTAGTGTAGTTTGTCCCAAAGATTGCACGACATGTCCTTAAGCTAAAATGTTGCTCACCGTTTAGGGAAACCTGCATAAAACTGGACGTCCTCTGTTCATTTATTGACTCTTGGTACCTACTGCATGTGAGAGCCTGAACAACCCCAGGAACACCCCACTCCCACTCTTGCTTCAGTGCAAGTATCCATCCTAAGGTTTAATTTTCCTTTTACATCATCGAGTCTTCTCTATCTTAGCAAAGGGATACTGTATGAATTTACTCATTCTTTGGGCATCTCTACCTACATTGTCCAAGAACAAACTCATTATCTAGTCTCCAGGACAAGATAACGTCTTCCGGTGAACTTCCCTGTTTGCATCAAGGGTGCTGCCTTCGCCCTTTGTTGCAAGTGGCAGAAACTCGATTGACCACATATCAGAGCTGACTGGGCCTCGGGATGAGGGGACCTGTCCTCCTGCAGGGGTCCTGTGCTCACCTGCTTCAGCAGAGGACTGCCATGGCTCCCGTGTAGACAGTGTGTCTTCTTTTTTTAAAGCTTTGTTTTCAACTGATCAATAGTAACACTCGTATACGTGTTTGGGGGTACAGCGTGATGTTTCCTTCAGGTGTGCGCTGGGAGTGAGCACCTCAGGCCAGTTAGCACACCACTGCAAAGACTTCTTGTCTTTGTTGTGAGAACAGTGAAATAATCACTTTCAGCTATTTGAAACTCCTAAGAAAAGAGGGTTGTTGCTGTGAGCTGGGTTTAGAGCCAGGGGCACAGTCATCTGCTCCTGCTCCTTCCCTGCTCCGTCTCTGGCTCTTTGTTCCCATGACACTCCTAATGTACACAAACATATTTTGCAAGTGGGGTTTTGCACAACACTGTATCAAATGTATTGCAACCATCATCCTAGACGTCTCTTTCATCTGTAAATCTTGCAATTCCATCAAGAAAGCAATCAAGTTGTCCATGGAATGATTTGTGCCTCCCAAACACCCGCTGATGATGGCTTCTGGTGCAATTATCCTATGGGTGCCTTCGGATTGCCACCTCCCCTTCCTCCATTATTTACTAGAGACTCAAGTTGTGCACAGATAATTCAAATCTACCATATTTCAATGATCATTTTATAATACCATTAAGTAGGAAGATGGTACCGTATCCCACAAGTGAAGAAGTTCAGACAAAGAAATACAAAAGCTGAGATGTGAGGATCTGGCCCGAGTTCTCCCTTCAGCCTCCCCAGGGTTCCTTGGAACTGAGAACTGGGTTTTGGCAGAGCTGACTTCGCCCCAACTTCCTCTGAGGTCTCCCAGGCCTTTCCTCCTTAGTGAGGTGGTGAACAGTCACCGCTCTCTGCCTGCCTCCATGAAGCCAGGCCACAAAGACCTTTCGCCTTTCTCTGCTTATTTTGCTGGCACTTTCTCCATTTTGCACCCCTCGAGAACACCTCTAAATGTAGTAACGCACAGACGGTGTCAGTAGCTTGGAAAAGGCTGGTCCCCAGTCCACATTGCAAAGGGAACCGAGCTGTGATGTGCTGAGGAGAGTTCCAGGTGGGCAGCAGTGCTGTCCCCAGCCAGGGAACAGAGTGGTTCCAAGGCACACACAGCCACGTTTCCTGGACATGATTGGGCACTTGTTCAGGGACCAAGAGAATAAAATAAGAGGAGAGAAATAAGGGGAAAACCAGCCAGAAATTTTTCTAGCTTTAGCGCAAGCTGATAAACAGAAAGTGTATGTGGAAATTGCTGTCTTTGTGCTGGGAACTTTGAGTAACTTTCATGTAAGACAGCTTTTTCCTGCCTGAGGGCAACAGAAATTGGTGTGGACAGTTAGGAATAGAGGGCTGAACTGTAGTAGCAAGTGAAGTTTCGCAACATCAAGTTCAGAGGCTAAAGCTCAAGTTTCAGTTAGAGCAATTCTAGAAAGCCATTGACACAATCGCTTTATGACATTGTGTTTCATTGAGAGATAAAGGACAGAGTGGGTGGCGGGTTGGAAGTTGTGCGGAAATTCCTAATTCTGGGGGATGCTGCCTCTGTCTGTTGTCAGAGGCAACTCTGTTCCCCTCCAGGACCATGGGCTGGGATTAAGGGAGGCGCAGGGTTGCCCCCTGGGTGAGATCTAAGGAGGAAAAAAGGGGCTTGTCTGTCACTGCAACGAGGGCAGAGTGTATTTTGGAGCTGGTGTTCTCTGACAAACAGAAATGAGTAAGGGCACTTAGTCACAGGGTTTTGTAAGAACTATGTTTACAGTTGACACAGCCGACCCGAGGAGATCCCAGAGGGGGGGGGCGGGGGGGGAGTTGGGGGGTGGAGAGGATGGTGAGGACTGACCAGCAGGCACTGGCTCCCGTTTGAGTCTTCCCTGCAGACTAAGGCCATTGAATTCATCTCATTCATACATTGAGCACCAACACACACAATTCCTCAAGTGGAAAACCGAGGAGGACGTCCCTGTGGGCGGGAGTGGACGAGATCCTGTGAATAGAGTTCAGTGTGGACATCGTTAGGTTGTATCAAAACCTCCACCATGGGTCGGATGTCACTGGTGCCACAGTGACAGTCAGTGGGTCACACACAGGAGCACACCATAGATCTGCACTAGAGGTGCTCTTAACAGAAAATGCCAGGGTTACCCTGGGGGAGAGTATTCCCAGGTGTGTGTTTTCTTCTTGTACTTTGCGCATTAGTCAAGCCTCGTGCTGGTTAAAGTGTGTGTGAAGTGTGACATACTCTGGAAGTCAAGAAAGGCTTGTCTCTATCTACTGCACACCAGCCAGGTGGAAGCAGGTGACACTGGGCCCTCCAGATTCACTCTCCACTGCCTAAGAGCCACCGCCTGGGGGTGGAGCCGACTTCCAGGGAGAGGAGGGTTGGGGGCAGTGCGGTGAGGCCAGCCCCGGTGGCATCCCAGGCCCCCTGCTGTGGGGAGGACAAGGGTGGATGTCCTTGAAAGGAAGAGGTCAGTTTGCTAGTCTCGGTGGGTGCCACGGTGGTGTGGGATGGTGGTGGGGTTGTGGACATGTGGGCAATGCCACGTGCTGGTTATTCTTGGTTTGTGGGAGCTACGCTACTCTTCTCCACCACGACAGGCAAGTGAAAGAGCTGGCTCTGAAGTTAAGCAGAGGGGTTGTAGCACCAGCTTTGTGGGTTGGGTCTACGCCTCAAATCTGTGTGCTGCCTCGGTTTCCTCTCTTAAATGGAGCTCGTGATAACAACCTTACAAGATGTCAAGCGCACCAGCCATCCTACCTGCCGCAGTCGGCAGAGTGGTCCTTCTATAAATGTAGCAACGATTAACTTCTCAATCACAGCAGGTAAATAAATGGGGAGATATGTTAGATTTTTTTTTTTGATCTTTCCTGATTTGCTTTGATCTTTCATATGACGCACAAATTATCCTGAAGAGCAAAGAAATGAAAGTAGCTTTGCAAAGCCAAATAAGCTTGTGTTTCTCGTAAAACTGTCTAATGAAAATGCTATCGATTAGCTCTGATGTCAGGTGACCTTTGGCTCTGAATTGGTGTGTTGTGGCAGAGGGAGTCCAACTTGTTCTCAAGATTTCTGTTTTTGGCTGTAGTAAAGCATAAAAGGGAGGAGATATTTCTTTAGTGGGCAACTATAGGGAGACTTTAAAATAGTGCCCTTCTAGTCCTTCCCTAAGGAAGGAAGGAAGGAAGGAAGGAAGGAAGGAAGGAAGGAAGGAAGGAAGGAAGGAAGGAAGGAAGGAAGGAAGGAAGGAAGGGTTCTCTCAAGGAAATTCGTGGTAACTAGAAATCCAGTGCATGGAAACACAGGTCATTACATTGTGGATCAGGATCTAAAACTTCATCTGATAATTTCTCTTGCATTGTGTCAGGGCCAAGCATGAGAATAACTGTCATGGTCTAATATCTGTTTATATTTCATGCATGACTCAGTTTGTGGATCACCTTATGAGGAGTTTGCTGGTTACTTCGGGGTAGTTTCCGTCAACAGAACCTGTATGCAGGGAACAGAGAAGCGTCCACACTTGCGTGAGTCCCCATGCACAGTGGTTGGTTGGGTGCAGGGACCTCGAAGGGACCAGCCAGGATGCACAACCAGGCTGCAGGGGGGACAACGATGAGGAAGTTCTCCTGCAGACATGTCACCACCACCTTCTTGCTGCTCTCTGAAGTCACGTTCTGGGCTTCTACCTGCCTGGACCAGTCTATAGCTGATTCTCATCATTCATAGTTACATTTTATTAACATTTTATTAACTTGCCTCAAACACTGAATTGTCAAATACTAAACTATTGCTTCATGGGGAAGTGGAGAATCTGCTCCTGTGTGCCTCTGGCCACGTTTTCATCGAATGATCGGCAGATTTGTTTTATCCATGTTTCTGCTGAAAGACACCTTATGTCCCATGAACTGTTGATCCATAAACACGGACCTCAAGGACAATAGTGCCTTGACTTAGGTCTGAACGAAGCTTCTCCAACACACTCTGTTTTACCTGGCTTGGGAGTGGACAGTGTAGGCTTATGCGCTTAGGAAAATTGGGTAGTATGTTAGCGTGGTGCTTGGGCCATTCAAAACAGTGAAGTCACCGCTGAAAAGCACAAGAACCCAAGACACGGTAGCTGAAAGGTGCAGGAGGCTGTGGTGCGCAGTGCGGGGGCTGAGCAAGGCGGGGAGGCGCCTCGGTGGGCCTGCTGGGAGCACCGGCATCTAAGTGACTTGGCTTGTTGCTCTGCACACATCCTTGAGGGCAGGAGAAAGTGCCTCGTAAAATTAAATCCAGTTTGTGCCTTGGGAGGCCTTCTGCTAATTCCACGTGTGGTCAGCTGTGACCTGGCTTGGTACAGGGCCAGCCGTGTGTGCCCATAGGAGTGTGCTCGTGAACTGGCCTCCCTCCCTCACAGTGGCAGGCTCAGCCAGCCCCTGTGGCCTGTTGATCCAACCAAACACTGAGTCATCACCCATCGAGGAGTCTGGTGACACTTATGTTCTCTGTCCGTAAATGCTGTCTGTCAACTTCACAGGCCGGAATTCCCTGGACATCTTCTTATTCTGAGGCTGTTCAACTCCAGAATCAATAGCAAAAGCCAGCGGAGGTCTTTCAATTTGTGGTGACTTTGACTTGTGATTTAATGAGAAGGTGTATTTGCAGACACGTTATCCAGGAATAAGGAGGATTGACTCTGACTCTGTGGCTCTCGTGGCCTTGGCCTCTGTGTTTAACGCCAGTCCTGGGAAGACTCTGTTCTGCTCTGCTTGGTCAGGATCCAGTTGGCTGGGCTGGCACTTGGGGTTGGGTCTGGGGCTTAATGAGGAGGCTGCTCTCCTGGCATTTGGGTTAGGGGTGATATTGGCATCTTGGTCTCCTTTGCATTACTTGGAAAGATGCACTTGGCAACCCAAATACTGGAGGGTGTCAGAGGTCAGAAGTGAAAGGACTGATTTTTTTTGATTTTTGATACCAGGGATTAAACTCAGGGACACTCGACCAATGGGCCATATCCTTAGTCCTTTTTGTATTTTATTTAGAGACAGGATCTCACTGAGTTTTTTAGTGCCTCGCTAAGTTGCTGAGGTTGGCTTTGAATTTGCGATCCTCCCTCCTTGGTCTCCTGAGCCTCTGAGAAAGGACTATTTTTTATAATTGGCTGTAGTTCTGTTTTTCTTCACCCCATAAGTTGTCTGGGACCCCAGAGAAAGGTAGTGTGCACGTGGTCCTGTTGTGACCATTTTCTCTTCCTCTGTGTGTGAGGGTCACACGCTTATCTCGTGGGGTCAGTGTCATAATAATCCAGTACCCCTCCCTAGCATACGCAAACACAGGACCTGTGCAGTGGTCTGTTTGGGGGTCGTGTGGCCTGACCAAGCCCTTGTATGCTCTCAACTATGACACCAATACACAGCGGCCCTGAAGCCACTTCCACCCGAGACTGTCAGAGTGTGTTTACGGACAGGGGTGTATGCAGCTGGATGGCAGCTGGTCCTGTCTGCCCGAATGGGTGAGCTTGGCACTCCACCTTAGGCTCACTCTGAACTCCGAGGGGATCAACAAGCCGCTCTCATGTGAGGACAAGGAGAGGGTCCAGCCCCAGCAGCCCCCTTCCTCACCTGTGTGTTTTTTTCTTCCCTGGAACAACAAAGAGGCTTTGGAATGTCAAGGTCTTTTTCTATCTGGGCTGTGGAGCAGGGGGTGGGATGGAAGCCTTCTCAAGGCCTCGGGTCCTGGAGTCGAGGGTTTAGACTCAGGCACAGACATGAACACACGTGGCTAACGTCAACCTGTGGCTCTCAGCCCCGCGCAGAGCTGGGTGGCCCCGTGAGCAGCGCTGGGAGAGGCCACCTGCTCACTGAGCCCCTGGCCTCGGCCGGGCTCACAATGGGATTTTGTCCAGTGCTGACCCCTCCCCCTGACCTGGGCGTGCTGGGCAGATGCGGGGCGCGGCAGAAGGCAAGTCCTGGTTGAGCCTGTCATGGTGTCCCCCAATTCATGTTGTCACTGCCTTCCTTGTGGGGGGAGGGAGAGGTTTGGGGAAGTGCTCCGGTCACAAGGGCTGGCAGGAACTAGCCAGGCCTCCTTCCACCCTTCTGTTCCTCCTGCCCCAGAGGGCACAGCCCCCAGGGCTCTGTCAGAGAGCAGAGAGCAGGCCTCATCAGACCCTGAGCCTGCGGCACCTGCTGTTGGACTCCCGCCCCCCAGCCCCCAGGAACTGGGAGAAACGCATCTCCACTCCGACAGCGTGCCCAGGCTCAAGGTGCTTACAGCAGCCCAGAGGGACTCAGAGAGTCACAGATCCATCTACCAAACCTCGGGAGGGCTGCATGGGGCCTCGACCCCTGGCCAGAACCTCCCAGATGACAGAGACTGTAAGAAGGACTGTGGCACAGGAAGGGGACATTAGTTGTGGGGGGCGCTCTTCAGCAGTTTGGTCTACATCGGTGACAGGGACAGCCCTCTAATTCCTGTGAGGGGTGAGGTCCCTCAAACTGGGCTTGTCTGTCCACCTGCTGAGCACATGAAGACACATTTGATGCACAGGGCACCTTGCTGGAAAGAATTTCTGCAGCTCTGGATGACAAAGCGGAAATAAGGAGACGGTATTAGCATCATCCACGTCATAAGCCACAGATGAGCCCATTTGCAGGAGGGCTGCCAGGGGTCTGCTCTCCTGAGCCTGGGCAGCCGCGTCCCGACTTCTGGGGCCCAGGTTCCCTGCGACAGCTGCCATCAGGTCAGTCACTCCTGAGAGCCCAGCGAGGCAGCTGCATTCCCAGGACTCCTGCTTCCTGGCCCCGGCTAGTCTTGAAGCCAGGTGGCTCAGCCCTGAACCGTGCATGTCCCCTCCAGATTGCCATGGACCTAGAGTGACAGGGAAAATGTGTTTTTATTTGTTTTGTTTTGTTCTCAAAAAGCAAAGTTCCTATTTGTGTTCTAATAACCCAGGCTCGTCTCTGAGTTGCCAGCCCACAGCCCAGCCCATCAGAGCCCATCAGAGAGAGGGAGGCTGCTGGGCACAGGGGGTCAGGGCACTGGGCACAGGGCTCTGTGGCTGGACAGGTCCTGCCCACCTTGTTCAGGAGGCCCGTGGTTAAGCTAGTGCCAGGCTCCCCTGGTGGAGGGGAGGGGTGCGCAGTGACCATGTCTGTGGTCCTATTCCTGAGCGAGGTCACAACTCTGGGCTAATATTTTATAGAGAGGGTCAGGGCTTGCTCAGGATAGGCTTAGGAAACTTCCTGGAGAAGAGGGTGGCGGTGCTCAGGAGGCAGGGGAGCCTAACAGGCTGCCGACTGGCAAGGCCCTCGCAGTGCAGAGCAGTCTCTTGCCCGAGTATGCCGCACCTCTCCTCCAGGGGCAGAGCCGTCCCTCTCCCCCCAGCTCCCCAGAGCCTCGGGGTTCAGGAGTGAAGGGCTTAAGAGGGGTGGGTGCAGTGGAGACCTGCCTCCCTTCTCCCTGTTGACTCTGCGCCATACCAGGCAGCCATCGAGAGTACGGCCCTGGTCTATGACACAGCACTTCCTCAAGGGAAGACACATTTTATGCCCAGGGCACCTTGCTGGAAAGAATTTCTGCAGCTCAGGATGACAAAGCAGAAATAAGGAGACGGTATTAGCGGCATCCATGGCATCCAGAGTTTGGCGGCTTAATTGAGATGCTGTCTCAGCTGGTCCAGAGTCCTTCTTCCAGGGCTGCCACCCAGATGATGACCACCCAGTGGGAGACGGCTGGGCAGGAAAGCAGGACACAGGAGCAGGGAGTGATTTATAGATCCCTCCAGGGGCAGGAGCAGAGCTGGCCCCACACTCCTGCAGCTTTGCAGCAGCGACATCATCACGCTGCCTTGTGTTCATCCTCGCACTTTTGGATTAGGAAGGAGAGATTAATTGTGTGGGGGACCCTCAGCAATTTGCTGAACCTCTGCATTCCTGACATTAATCTTTCCCCAGGTGCCCTATCATTAACTTGAAAAATCAACCGGGCCAAACCTTAGAGTAGGTTCATGATGATGAGAATACATAAATAGCACGCGGAGAGGAGCTCAAAGGCCGTCGGCTTCCTGGGCACCTGTGCGGAGTGTCGCAGGAGCCCCCTTCGCCAGCCTTCATCGATGGGAACGTGTCCCTTGTCCACAGCTTGTCAGAGTCCTTTCTTTTTGGCGTGGGTCAGAGAAAGGCATGAAAACATTTCTATTTTCAAATAATGCAGATAAACAATCCCTCTTCCGAGGAAACGCCCTGTGCTGCTGGAACTCGGTGGCCAGGGCTTCACCTAGCTTCTCTTCAATCCAGAAAGAAAATCACGGGAGAGGCTTGAGACTTCCCCACATGACAGCAATTCTTACCGTGCCTGATGTGGTTCGTCCTGTAGTATGGGAAGTTGGCCAAAGCACTGCATTGAGGTAACAACTTTGGAAGTTTTGAGTCTCTTTTTCTGAAAACACTCTTCCATGCATAGATTTGTTCTTAGGTAAGTAAAGGTCTTGATTTGTGCACACTAAATCATGGTGACCAGCTGTGTAGAAAAACAGCTGTGTGTTCTACTAGGACAACATGGTCCTCGGGCCGGGGCTGCTGGGCATGGGTCTGAGGGGAGGCCCCTGGCTGGCCATTGCAGGTGTCTGGCTTTGCTCCACCCACTCCTCTATGCAGTGTCCCCAGGGTGGCCAATGGACTGAAGGCAAACTGCGCATGTGGGATGAGAAGGACACTCGCTCTTGCAATGACTCCTTATGAAGGAGGCCTTTTGAAAAATCTGCACTCGGCTGAATCTTCCCGTGCACTGCCGTGGACATACTCACCAGCCACCCGAGTCAGGCAGAGCAGGATGCAGCCAGGTCAAAACGGACACATGGAATAAGAGATCCGAGAAAGGGGAAGTTAGAGAGATGCTGGAATTTGGATGTTTTTCTAGATTTCATTAAAAGTTAGAAATATAAATCATCTGAAACCTGTAAAGTTTTTGATTGGAACAGACCTTAAAGTGAAATTTAAAATGAAAAGTAATTCACCATCGATTGTATTTTCTCCTTATTAAATTTTACATGGTAGCGTCCTCCAGTTAAAACCTCACAAAGGCCTGGGTTTTAAAAAAACGACATGTGGTTTTTTTTCCCAATTATTGGTTCGCTTAATATTTATGGAGAGCCTCCGGAGTGTACATCCCTGTGTTCAACAGGAAAATGGTGGAGAGACATCGACTTAGGCCAAGACACACTCTCCAGTGATGGATCATGGCGTCACGTGGAAGCCGGCACAGGCAGAGCCTGTGAGCGCAGCCTCTGGTCCATCTGCTGATGTCTAGCCCAGAGGGACAGAGAATGACTAGCCACTTCATGGTCACGCATTTGTTTGAACTTTGCTCACCAACTCAATCAATAATTCATTTTAATAAAGCTCAATGTTCAGCCTATGTTAAAGTCATTTGCATCATGTGCAAGGTAAATATGTTTGAATTTTTAATACTCTTTTGTATATCAACCCCATTTGACTAAAACCTGGTGGAAACATCTTTATTTCACACAGATAATTTCCTTAAACTAAAAGCAACCCCCAGGAAGTACACAGCACCCGTTAAGTGCCGGGCAGTGCGCATGTGCACACAGACACACAAGCCCCCTGAAGAGCCATGGGAGGGGGTCCCTGTCACCTGCATGATTCGACCACATGGAGCCCGCACCGCACCAGAGCGTAAGCAGAATTCTTGTTTTTCACAAGTGTGTGGAGGATGACAGCCATCAGTAGTTACACATTTATCAGACACTTGTCTTTGGTAGGCACTAGGGACACAGGGTGATCCAGATCCGGGGCTGGCCCCCTGCTCACCTTCCAGAGAAAGCAGGTTTTCACAGAGCTGCTGACACATGGCATTCCCCGTTGGCTTTCTTCTAGAAGGTGGCCTGGGCAAGTCGAGGTCACATGGAAAGATCCCCCAGTTCTAACAGGGAACTTCAGGCAGTAAGGGGGTTCTTGTGATCTTTCGCCAGACTCAGCCGCGGCCTCCAGGGCCCTTAGCAAGAGGGAGGTGCACAGCGGGTCAGTCATGTCCAGTGTGAAGACGTCGGCCAGCACCAGGAGACAGTCACAAACAGAAGAGAGACTGAGACCTCCTTCCACGGCCCCTTTTCTGCTCCTGAGGAAGAGCCATCAGCTCTGGCCCGGAGCAATCCGGGTGTAAAAGGTGTGGACACGGAGAACGGACAGGCCGAGTGTTGTGAGATCCAGTGATTTTAGCAGATAGGGTGGACTATTTAGCAGACAGTTTTGAAGGATAAAAACGAGCCAGGACCTGCAAAGCTCCCTGGATCTAGCTCCTGGATTACAGGAGTAGAATACATGGATCATGGGTGCATGTGTGTGTGAGCATTTGTGTGTTAGCACATGTGTGTGCAAGTTAACAGCCACTGAGAATGACATGGGTTCGGCTCCCCAAGGCGATGCGCCTAGGACTCTCCTGCAGTCTCCTGAGACCTGGTCTGCACTCACACAGGCCTTCTGTCTGAAACCACACATTCTGCCCACTTGTGCTCTCCCTGCAGCCGGTAAAGCTGAGCTCTCCACAACGTAAATCTTCACGGTACAGAATTTGGACAGAATTTAAGGTATTTTGGTGTCACAAGCAATATTCCCTAACTTTAAAAGGGGAAAGATATTGAATATGACATTCAGATAAAGAATTCTTGGGACTCACTGGGTTTGTTGTTTCTAATGATCCTTGGGGAGCAAGCTGTGACTCTAAACCTTTTAATCTATATGTTTTTTGTATTAAGGATTGAACCCAGGGGAGCTTAACCACTGAGCCACATCTCCAGCCCTTTTCGCTTTTGATACTGAGACTCAGTCTAACTAAGTTTCTTAGGGCCTCACTGAGTTGCTGAGGCTAGCCTTGAACTTTCAGTCCTCCTGCCTCAGCCTCCTGAGTCACTGGGATTACAGGTGTGCGCCACTGCCCAGCATCATCTTAATTTTTTCTATGAAATGTGCCTAAGGAAACTATTTGGTCATTAGCAGTAAAACAAAACAAAAACAAAACAAAACAAAACCTCTATCGGCATACAGACTTCACACGAGGTACACAGCAATCCTAAGTAAAGTCAAAATTCCATTTAGAATATCCCAATAGACCCTGAGATGGGATGTGTGGTAAACTCTTCTCCATCACAGCCCTGAGGACATGTGTCGTGTGGTTTCTCAAGGTCTGAAACCATATTCCTTGCCTGTGTCAGGGATGCCATTGGAAGTCTCAAACGATGCTCCTCCAGGCACCAGGACAGGTCTGAGGGTCTGCATGCGTGGTGAGAGTGCAGTGCTGCAGGACCTGGTGCACAGATGGGGCAGTGGTCAAGAAGCTGCTGGCATAAACAGAGGTTCTGTCCCTTGCCTTCCCCCATGAGATTGGCATGGTGTGTTTTCATCATGTTCTTTGAAGTGAGTTCCTAGAATCAAGACGTTTTTCAAGACGTTTGGAAGTGGGGGTCCCAGCTCTAATTGCACTTTTTCATAGACCATGGTCAGCAAGTCACATTCTGATTACTTCACATACCCCTCAGGAGACACGTACCGAGTGCACGCTGCATTCCAGGACGGCTGCCTGTTGAAATTGTATTATCTCAGAATGTTCCTGAACATCCATGCAAGTTTAGAAATCTTTCTGAAACAACGGCTTGTGTGGATGTGCAGAAATTGGAACCCCTGTCCTTCATGGGGGGAACCCCTGTCCTTCATGGGTGGGACTATAAAATGGTGCAGCCACTTTGGAAAAGAGTTTGATAATTCCTCCAAATGTCAGGCCCAGAGTTACCGTGTGACCAGTAATTCTACAGCTAGATTTATGCTCATGAGAATTGAAAATGGTGTCTACATCAAAACCTGCACACAGATGTTCTTATCAGCTTTATAATAACCAAATTGGGAGTGACTCAAATGTTCATCAGCAGATGGATGGATAAACAAAACACAGTGTGTTTGTGCAATAGAATGCTTATTGGATATTTTGTGAAAGGGTGCAATTCTGTTTCATGTTCCAGTAGGGACGAACCTTGACATTATGATGCTATGTTGAAAGAAGGAACAACAAGCGGCCACAAATTGTGCTTCTGTTTATATCCCAATGCCCAGGATACACAAATCCAAAGGCAGAAAGTCAACTAGTGGTTGCCGAGAGAATGAGGGTGTAGAGGGAAGCGAGGGTGATCTGTGGATGTGTTTTATTTTGGGGATGATAATAGAGACTGGCAATGGCTTTACAATTCTGTGAATAAGCTAAAGTGACTGAATTGCACACTTTAAAGCAATAAATTTTATGGTACGTGAATTATATTCAATGAAGTTTTTACCGAGCTCTTAGGTTGTTCAAACCTCTGTCCCATAAGTGATCAAGATTGAACTTGTTGTTTTGAGATGTTTTTAGCCTTTAGATTAAAATAAAGCAAAATTTTAAGATATCAAAGACAACAAAGCAATCAGAGTTATTTTTTTTCACACGTGTTAGAATCTTATGTTTTCAAACATCTGAAGAGAATCTTCCATAAAATGAATCAGAACGATAAAAGAAGTTTTGCAATACTTTTGCAGATGGTCTTATTTAAACAGATCTTGGGTAGTGATACTGTCGATGCTTATACAGTCACATGGCATAAGGCCTGGTTTGGATGAGGGGCCTTTTGAGCAGGACTTCATGGGGAAGCGTTCTCATTTGTATTTCCCGGACTCAGTGCTTGTGTTAGTTGAGGAGAGGATTTAATGCATCATCATTTTTTAGCTGTCCCTTTTTGAGGGGATCTCTCCCGCCAGAAACAAAACAAGCGTCCCTTCATCTCTGAGATAACACAATTTCAACAGGCAACCGTCCTGGAATGCAGCGTGTGCTCGATACGTGTCTCCTGAGGGGTATGTGAGGTAATCCGAATGTGACCTGCTGACCATGGAAAAGTGCAATTAGAGCGGGACCCCCACTTCTAAAGACAGCCTTTTCCTTCCAACACAAGCATGGGCATTTCAAAGCATTTTTAGTAAAGGAAATAGCTAAGCATATTTGTGGTTGGGTTTATGTAAAGAAAATATCCCAAAGGGTCCTTTGATTTCCTAAGTCCGTGGTGATCAGTGATAGCAAGAACTTGAACCTGTAACACACAGCATGAAGCCAAACTTGAGAGCAAAGTTTCCTGAAGAGTGATTGTTTGGGAGTGAAACCTGGCTCTCAGCTGCATGATGCGTTATAAGTATTTTTACAGGAACGAGGGATTGCTGAGGCAAGCACGGGTTTTTCATCAGCCTTTATTGGTTTTCCTCTCAAGCCCAGTTAAACTGATTCTCCAGAGAAACAGATAATGTGTGATAATGAGTGTGCGTGTGTGTGTTTCAATTTTGCCCATCGGGTAACACATGAGAATTGTATTTTGTTGCAGAGGTGAGGGGGCACCCAGTGGAACGATATTCCTGAACATTCAAGCTCTTCATTGATGGACATTTCAATTTTTTTTTTTTTAGCAAAAATCAGATTTCCACTCTCTCATCCTATTGCCTTGGTGGAGAACTATTTAAGTCTGATAATCTGTTGCTGTAAGGGGCCAGAGGGTCATCACTGGATGGCCTTAGGAATGGCCAGGGAGGGTCACACTCACTACCATCCCCATCAGCATCTCTTGGCCAAGTCAGAGCTCAGGCAAACCAAAGGAATTTTAAGGTTTTCAAGACTTCTTGACTGGTATATTTACATAGATTCGCATACTCTGAAATTAAGTAAGAAATTAAATTGTGAGATCTCTCAGAGGGAAATTCAGAAGTTCAAATGTGAAAATGTTACAGTATCGGTCAATATCACATTGTGGTGGTGCACACCTGTAATCCCAATGACCATGGAGGCTGAGACAGGAGGATCTCAAGTTCAAGACCAGCCTCAGCAACTTAGTAAGATTGTCTCAAAGTAAAAAATGTGGGCAGGTGGCTCAATGGTAAAGAATCCCTGGTTTCAATCTTCAGTACTAACAAAGAGAGAGAGAGAGAGA